ACATAATGACTTTCGGGAATTTATCGATCGGCTTTGACAACGATTTAATCCCAGTCTGATGTTGGAGAGGCCGATTGAGTTAAGCGAGGTTAAGTTCAGAGTGAGCTAGACGTTGATTCCAGCCATCCAGGTCAGCTCCAGACAGCTCTCGATATGTAGATGTAGATCGATTTGATGGAGAGTTTGTGGGGTGCATTAGCATATCCCTTACATGTTGTTTTCCCCAGAAATTGGAGGAGACGATCCGTCGTCTGCAGATGTTGAATGTGGTTTGATACCCAGCGGCCATACAAAAGTCACTACGGATTCCGGTTTCCGACGCTCAGAAACCGAGATGCCTCGTTTTCAACGTTCTGAAGCGTCTTTCTTGGGATTTTTTGGTGCTGGCCATTCACATGACGCGCCGAAGAAAGCATATTCGCGATCTCGAACTCTGATTCGGTCGTTGATGCATTGGAAAGTCGCTGGTGGTGATCCTGAAGGCGCATTCCTGACCTCCGCAGATCGACTGTCAGAATGCGGGACACGTCGAGTGACTAGATCATTTCCCCACGCTAGATCTGTGGAGTCTGGGGTTAGGAATAATCTAATTTATGGTTTCAGATTCTAGCCAGAAGATGAGAAGATGGAAGACCTCATTTTCACTGTCCTGTCCTGGGTGACCGATGCGATATGCTGGTGATGGCTCTCGGTCGGGAAAAGGGGCGGGATAGCGACAATAAAGACCACCGCAAATTCTGCGCCTATAGAAGAGCGACATGGAAGAAACAAGCTTAGTGCCCTGAGCCATTCTCGAAGCCAGAAGCCAGAAGCCTCCAGCACAACAGCCATAGCTAATGCAATCCTACTCTCGTAGAAGCTTCGAGCGAATCCCATCACCACGCTCAACTACACTAACCGTCTAAGGTAGTAGCCGCTCCAGAAACAAAAATTCAAACTCTTCTTCCTCCCTCTCCGTTCCCCGCAAAGAAAAAGCCTCGTGCCATGACCCGGCCAATATCCATTGATCCAATCCTTTGGCCTGAAATTCTATTTGCTTCTAGTCCTAACTGAGAGAAAACAACAGAAGATCCCGGACTTTTTTTTCTTTCTTTCTCTAGACTCTAGAACGGTACTAGCTACTAATCACAAGATCACGATTCTACCCTCCATACCCTCAAACCGGTTCCTGAGCTTGAGGGTGGGGGTCCTCCTGTCCTTCTCCCCCGAGGCCTTAAATTCAGCGATTGTCCCTGGTTTTTCTTGCTTCTCTATTCTCCATTTCCACTACATGTTACCTTGACTCGGAACATTCATTCTCTGGTCATTCTAGACCGTGTGGTCCCATTGTACAAATCCCTCACAACTCCCTTCTACACCCCTCGGTTCGGCTGAAGGTCGTCAATTGTACTCGCATGATGGCTTCCGAAAAGGCGCAGGATGCCATTGGGCCAGCGGGGGAGTACGATCCTCGCCGTGATTCTACAGCGTCTGCGGCCAAGATCATTCACAATGCCAGAGCGGCGACGGAGAAGGAACATCGCATGTCGCTCTGGGAAGGCATCAAGACCTACCCCAAAGCCGTCGGGTGGAGCTTGCTGATCTCCACCTGTATTGCCATGGAGGGCTACGATATCAGTCTCGTCAACAATTTCTATGCCTTCCCGCAGTTCAATCGCAAATACGGTGAGCTCTCCGCAGACGGGTCATATCAAGTGCCGGCGCGGGTAAGTTCTCCGCCCACCTATCCCCCCTTCTGCGATATGTGTGCTGAGATGTCATTGTATAGTGGCAAGCAGGTCTTAGCAACGGTGCTGCAGTTGGAGAAATCATCGGTCTCTTCCTCAATGGTTGGGCCTCAGAACGTTTCGGATACCGCTATACTCTCATCACCTGTCTCATCTTGATCACCGCTTTCACCGCCATATTTTTCACGGCTCCGAATGTTCAAGCTCTACTTGCGGCCGAAATCCTCGCTGGTGTTCCGTGGGGTGTGTTCCAGACTCTCACAATTACGTATGCCTCGGAAGTGTGTCCCGTCGCTTTGCGTGGCTACCTGACCACCTACGTCAACTTTTGCTGGGGACTTGGACAGTTGATTGGTATTGGAGTGATCAGATCAATGATCGATCGTAACGATGAGTGGGCGTACCGTATTCCCTACGGCCTGCAGTGGATGTGGCCTGCGCCGTTGCTCCTTGGCATCCTCCTGGCCCCGGAATCGCCATGGTGGCTTGTCCGCAAGGGCAGGACCCGGGAGGCTAAGAAGGCCTTGTTGCGATTGACCACCGTGCAGGAAGACTTCAATGCTGATGAGACCATTGCCATGATGGTTCACACGACTGCACTGGAAGAGAAGATCACCAAGGGCGCCAGCTACCTCGACTGTTTCAAGGGCACTGACCTGCGCCGAACGGAGATTGTCTGCATGGTATGGGCTATGCAGAACTTGAGCGGCAACTCCTTCTCGAATTACTCTACCTACTTCCTCGAACAGGCCGGCTTGGACGCGTCCAAGGCTTATTCTTTCGCCATGGGCCAGTACGGCATCAACATGGCAGGAGTGTTCGGCGCATGGTTCCTCATGACACTGGGCGTTGGACGCAGAACGCTGTACCTGTGCGGTCTCTGCGGTCTCTGCGTCATGCTCCTCGTCATGGGCTTCCTCGGTCTGGTACCAGAGGCGCACCGGGACCAGGCATCTCTCGCCACGGGCTCTATGATGATTTGCTGGGCGCTGGTCTACCAGCTGACAGTAGGAACGGTGGCTTACTCTCTCGTTGCCGAGCTCTCCACCCGGCGCCTGCAGATCAAGACCGTTGTCCTCGGCCGCAATCTGTACAACGTCGTGGGTATCATCTGCGGTGTCTTCACGCCGTACATGCTGAATCCCGGAGCTTGGGACTGGGGCAACTATACCGGCTTCTTCTGGGGAGGAATCTGCTTCCTCTGCATCATCTACACTTACTTCCGTGTCCCTGAGCCCAGAGGCCGATCGTTCGCCGAGCTGGATCTTCTGTTCGAGCGTAAGGTCAGCGCAAGAAAGTTCTCCAGTACGCAAGTCGATGTCTTCGACGAGACTGTCGAAAGCCAAGTGGTGAGCGACTACCATGCCCAACAGATGGCCGGGCTCGGTGTGACCCCAGCCATAACGGTTGCTGTATGATTGATGAATTGAGTTGCCTCGGCCCTTTTGGATATGACCCGGCTGAGATCCAGACATGATGTACTGTACATAATCTTATTCACACAATACAATTTGACGCTTCTAATGCCACGTGCCGGTCCATGTTATATATGATGTCAAGCGCGCATGCTCTGCCTGCCTTGATCGCCAGTGAATATAAATATTACTGCAGATCTTCTTCCTCAACCACCTTGCTAAATATTTAGGCCCATGCATATGAATTTCTACTCATGAGACCACTCGGGCTTCTTCTTCTCAGCAAACGCAGTCATTCCTGTCCATAGTCAGTAAAACCAACCTCGCGCAGTAAGTCAATCGCAAAAAAAAGAAACTCACCAATCTTCTGATCCTTGCTTCCAAACAAGCCATGGAACAACCGCCTCTCATACTCCACGCCCTCCCTGAGCGAAAGCTCCTGGCTTTTATTCACCACTTCCTTGGCAGCCAGTACACTCACCCGACTATATCCCGCAATCGTCTCCGCAGTCTTAAGCGCCTCGGCCAGTAGCTCCTCGTGCCCACCCTCGACAGCCTTGGCCGCAACACCCCACTGCTCCGCCTCCTTGCCGCTGAAGTTCTTCCCCGTCAGGATCAGCTCCATCGCCTTGCTCTTGCCGACGGCGTGGGTGAGGCGCTGCGAGCCGCCCGCGCCGGGGATCACGCCCAGCTTGATCTCGGGCTGCCCGAAGGTGGCGCTGGCGGTGCAGTAGATGATGTCGCACATGAGGGCGAGCTCGCAGCCGCCGCCGAGGGCGTAGCCGGAGACGGCGGCGATGACGGGCTTGCGGACGGAGTTGGCGAGGTGCGACCACGGGGCGATGAAGTTGTTGGTGTAGGCGTTTGAGAAGGTCAGTGGGGCCATTTCCTTGATGTCGGCGCCGGCTGGAGGGCATTAACATGTTGTAGTGGTTAGAAGAATACTGCATACTCACCGGCAAAGGCCTTTTCGCTGCCTGTGATGACGACGGCTCCGATGTCTTTATCTTCCTCGTATTTAGATAGTGCATCGTTGAGTTCCTTGAAGAGCGGGCTGGAGAGGGCGTTGAGTGCCTTGGGGCGGTTGAGGGTGACTGTCGAGTGTTAGACACTCGTCAATGGACCAACTAGCTCGAATATGATCGGGGAAAAGGACATACTCAGTCCAACACCAGGCTTAGGAGTCGACGTGAGGATGTATTCGTACATCGGGGCAGCGGATGAGTAGGGTCTGGCAACACGGCTAAGGTAGGATGTAAGAGGGATAGCGGTCCTGGACGAGACCAGGCGGGAACATTGCCGAGAGAACATGGTGAAAGGGACGTGATGAAGGTGAGATTAGGTAAGATTGGTTGTTGGAGCAAGCTGCAGGTTAATTGATGCGCAGTCTAACAGTCCTTAAGTGCCAGCTCCTAGATACTACTACTCCGTCCTTATGATGCTACACCCCGGTTATCTCCCCGCATTCGCCGAAGGGAACCGTCGCTCCGAGGCAATGCGGAGCACGTGAACTGGACCTGGTAACATAAGTTGGTGCTAACCCTAGTAAGGCTAGCGTGAGTTTTGTCATCTCCCCTGAGGCGCAGCAGCTGTTGATGTGGCTGGTTCTGCCGAAACGGGTTAGTCGCCGCCCAAGCTGAGCAGTGGACACTTTTTCTCTGCAGACGGACAGACTGCAAGACGGAGAGCGAGAGAGATAGCAACTTTGTTTCGCCCCTCCAGCTTCGTCGGTGTTGGTGGGAATATCCTCTTGTTTCTTGCTCACAGGACGTCTTTCTTGACCCGCAAGTGTCTCCTTGCATTGGTGGTAGTCCACGACTTTTCTTAATCCTTTTCTCCTCTCCCTTATCCTGTCGCTATGGATGTCCCCGAGCCAGAACAGACGCCGTTCACGGCTGTGACAGCGCAGACCTCAAAGCTTGCGCGGGTAAGTCAACTCCATTCATCATGGATCGGTCTGCAAAGATCGATTCGTCTTGTACCTCAAAAAAGAAAAGAATAAAAAAAAGAAAAAGCTTCCGGCTGATGACTCCGATGATAGCAATACCAAACGTCCCTCGATGCTCTGACACCCTACACAACCTACCGGTGGATCGGCACCGTCGTCCTCCTCCTTATCTTCTTCCTGAGAATCGTCTTCGCTCAGGGATGGTACATCGGTATGCGACTGTCCCTCTCGTCTTTTCAGCTTTCCAACTGCAACTTACTAACATCCTACCCATGTTCGCAGTCGCATACACCCTCGGCATCTACCTCCTGAACCTCTTCCTGCTCTTCCTTCAGCCCAAATTCGACCCCTCCCTCACCCAAGACGAAGGCCTCGAGGACGGTGACGCCTCCGCCAGCCTCCCCACCAAGCAGGACGACGAGTTCCGCCCCTTCATCCGCCGCCTCCCCGAGTTCAAGTTCTGGCACTCCGCTACCCGGGCCATCGCCATCGGCTTCGTCTGCTCGTGGTTCTCCGTCTTCGACATCCCGGTCTTCTGGCCCGTCCTGGTGGTCTACTGGATCATCCTCTTCGTGTTGACGAGTAAGTTCACTTGTATTATAGTGTAGCGTTGTGCGCTTGGGCTGACGAGATCATGTGAAATAGTGCGCCGACAGATTCAGCATATGATCAAGTACCGCTACGTGCCTTTCTCCTTCGGAAAGACCAGATACGGCCGCTCATAAGAGTCACGAACCCCATGGGAGCGGCACTTGTGTATACTGCTGCTGCGGAGTGCATGCAGCATCTGCTCCTAGGCCGTCCTGTGAAGCGGATACACTTTTTATCCTTGGGGACAGCGAGTTGGGGCCCGCGAGGAGAGACGAAACTCCAGTACTGATGTTGATTGATGATGACCCCTGTGTGATCTGAATTAATGAGCCGACTCTTTTTTATTTTATTATTGTACAGAGCTTCCAAGTCCGCAATGCTCGAATCTTGTCACTTTCTTCCTATTACCTTCTCAACTATACTCATTGTATTGATTAGACAGTTATGTATCTTCTACGTACCATGGAAACAATTCTGAAATAGACAGCCGAATCTGGTGACAAGACCTCATACAGATAACATCAACCTTAGAAAGCTGGTACGATGTGGAAATCAAATTGGCCCGGCCAATACAGCTTTTGCATAAAGAACTAGCCACTCTAGCAACGCAAATGGATATATAACACCTGATTGATCATGAACATCAAACCCCTTGCCAGACATTAAGAACGAACGAACTCAACATGCTATTCATCTCATTGAAATCTAATGGAAAGAGAAAAAGGAAACGCATTGCTCATATCTCAAGGTGCTCCACACTGTGAGACCGCTTGCTGCTGCCGTCACCCAACGACAAGGCCGATATCGTCCGGCCGGGAGTTGGGCGTTCCAGCTCCTTGGTCTTGGTACAGATCCACGTCGACGCATACATGTTCACACTATCGTACGTCAGCGATTGCATTGGTAATGGTCAGGGAATATCGAGAACTTACCGATCGATGCAAGAGCCGGGGAAGCGGGCGCCGACACGGCGTGCTGTGAACCCGTTCTCTTCGAACTGCTTGATATACCAAGGCTCGATGCTGGCAGAGCGGAGGAGAATGCGGCCGTCCATTTTCAGGGCGTGGTTGAGTTTCTGGGCTTGGATCGATGCTTCTGTGCCTTCGGGATCGAACCAATCCATCGAGTCCATGATCTGGAAAATGGGTTAGATCGGTCATCTGGGCAAATCATACAAGGGGCTGCTTACCACAGCGATTGTCAGGCTTCGGGGAGTGATCCGCTTGATCACTTCGTTGATCTCATCTGTGTGAATACGTAGGCCGTCAAATGCACCGGGCGAAGAGAGCTTCACATGGGCCTTGGGAGACAAGTATGTGGGGTGGCATCTGGGATACAGTTAGATTGGTTTGTTTGGAATCATTTGGGACAAACTCACCTTCTTGAAAACTGCCCCTGGAGACACAGGAAATAAAAGTAGTTATCGTTGCTGATCATAGTTTCGTTGATGACGGGGTCCAGTGTGTCGACAACATATTGCCAGATCGACCGGCCACTGATATCCTTGCCCTGGTTCATGTCCTTGGTCAGGCCCAGTCTCTTGAAGTAGTCGTCAACGATCATATTCCGCTGGTTTCGAGGCACGCCCGCGGCCTTCCACGCGAACCATTCGGTGCTGACAACCGCCCAATGAAGGGGCTTGCTCATGAGTACGGCGCGAATCTTTGGCCAGATCTCACGCTGCTCAGCAAGAGTCTGCGCCTCACAGAGCTTCTTCACCTGACCCTCAAGGCCAAACACCTTGAACAGGTACCGAACCATCTTGATGGCGTGGCGCGAGCCACCGGTTTCATAAAGACCTTTGCCATATTTTGAAGTGAAAATGTGAGTGTGCTCAAGCCAGTACTGGAATGCTTGGCTGGAGAGGTGAGCGCTGAGACGAGAAATGAGGAGTTCCCTGAATTCTGGGTGTTTTCCCTCGCCAAAGATCTTCCAGACATCGCGATGACCAAGGGCCATGAAACTAGCAACCTTGAGTTCAAGCAAGTGATTCTGGTTAGGGTTCAGGTCGACGGCATGGACTCTGCGTGGACTCTTCTGAAGGTAATCCAAAATATTGTCTCCTGCGCTGGTAATGGCCAAGATAACATCATCCCGCTTAATGTCGAGAAGGCGGTGATCCACACGAGGATCTTCCCAGTTGAAGGCATAAATGTATTCATTCTTGAACTGCGTGTGCTTGGGCAGCAGATCATTGTAGAAGATGCGGCAGTGGTGGTTCTGGTAGAAGGATGAGGGAAGAGGGAGGTTCGCGCTCAGATTGATAACGGCCGACTCGTAGGCTTTGGAACGAACTTCTTGAGCGTTCCTCTCCATTGCTTTCTCCATCTCCTTGGTGTGATTGGAGGGAGAAAGGTAAGGCGATTCAGTAAAGGAGGCGTCCAACTTTTCGATTGTCTCCTGACCGGAGAGATTTGATGTAAGATTCTTGTGACGTCCAACGAAGATGTAATAAGGAATGCCTCCGAGAAGATAATTGCGCTCGCTGGCAGAGATGACGGTTCCAAAGCGGTATTCCAGATAATCTCTGCGAGCTGCTTCCAGACTGACACGGTCCGCATCGAACCAGGCCCGCCAGAAGGCACGACCCAACCAGTTAACGTGGCGATTGAAAGCACCACCAATGTAGTTGCGGGCGGAAACATCCACGATACTTTGGACTATTCCAATGGATTAGTCTCCATCAGGTCAGAAGGCTGTACGCTGCTTACCATAAAAGTCGCAGACACCAAGGATACCAGACGCCCTCAAGAGGTCGGTCAAGGAGTCGACGACACTGTAGTAGTCTGTATTCAATTAGTATGGGGGCCTCAATGCTTGTTATTCCAAAGACTAACCAGGAATCATGGACAGGCTGTAGCTCATGGTGATAAGATCTGCGCCTGCAGTTAATGGGGCTGGGGCACGGGGGTCGACTTTCTCTTGGGGGAGACGGAAAGAGCGTGCATCTTGGCAGACGACGGTGACATTCTTCCAGCCTAGGCGCTCGAATCGCTGACGGGCAACCTCGCAAAGAGAGGGAGACAGGTCGACAAGGTAGACTTGCGAGAAGAATTGGGTAACGGGTAGGAAAGAAGCCATGGTCTCAATGTTGTAGCTAGCTTACGGTTAGGCCTCGAAGCAAGATGACGACTCGATTTGACACTTACCCAGTGCCTCCGCCAATCTAAGCAACGAGTGTCAGCGTTTGCGAACAATAAGCGATACCGAGGTGCCTTACATCAACCCAGATTGCCTTTCCAGCCTGGAGCTCTTTGTTCTCAACTTTGTACTTCAATTGCGCAGCAACAAGCCCCAACATATCCTCGCGGCCACAGAGAAGACGCTTGCGAGTGGCATCATATACACCAGCCTAGCAGATATATCAGTAAGCGCTTCCAGATGCATCGCATTCGGAGCTCATACCTGAGTCTTGTAGAAGCTTTCTAGCGCATCTTGCTGGCCATTGAGACCTTTCTTGTGGGGCTTAAGGAACGATGCGTAGATGAATCTGAGGTAAGTGAAGATACCGCGATTGTAGTCAAACTTCTTGTGCTGGGATGCCAGCATGAGAACCACACCGACAAGTGCGCAAACTAAGAAGCCGGCACCTGCAATGTACGCGTGAATAGGCTCCATGCGGCTCAGAAATGAACCAGCAGGAGTGCTGCTGAAGGAGCTCATGGCGAAAAAGCGAAGAAGGGCTCAAGGTATCAATCCCCAATGTGAGACTGAAAGGAACTGAAGTTGACTGAAAGCAACCTCAAGAAAGAAGGGCACTGGAGAGGAAGGGCGCATTCTTGAATCAACAGCGCAACCATCAATTCGGGACAAGGGCAATTGAATGCATCATAAGGATGCCCCACCATGACCCCTCGGTCGTAAACGTTGGCTCCCAATATCGGAGCAGCATGGGTCGCCATATCCTATCAGGACCACACATGGTCCTGACTGCCGAGGGGGGAGATAAGATGCTAAGGTCCATCAGAGCAATGTGGCATCGCCAGTAGCGGGAAGGTTGTGGAAAGTGGTCCATTTTGGAGACTTCGGCCAGAAGATAGTCAAACGCGGCTCGATGGGGCAACTGATAGGCCGTAGCGTACAGGTAGTCTTCAACATCCACACGACGCTATTGGATGATTGTAACGGGGGATCTGCTGGAGTACACTGCAGCACAGAATTGGGAAAAGGTACGTAGGCACCCGGACGATGTAGGAGCAGCGAGAGGCATCAAGGCCCTGGCAAGTAGGAAAGCAGAGTGGCAGCATGTGCGGGAATGCGGTGGACGTGGAGCCTCGTTCCGCTCAAGGTTCGCAAATAATCGCAGTCGACCGAGTGCCCGTGGGGAGAGTAGCTGATCATACCAGCAATCACAATGAAGGTTAATGGTTGTCTGGGCTGCTTCAGTGTATGAGACCTGCGGAGCCAATCACAGCGCGGTCCGCCGGCACATTTCAGCATCAGGGACTCCGTTAGGTCCAGTTGATCGTCCCTTGTACATCCATGGATCGATATCGGAGAGTCGCGTTGACGATTATTCACAATGTTCCGCCACTGTTGGAGTCAGAAAGGAGGCATTAATTGAATCTCGACGAGGGATTGCAATCTGCTCAATGAAACGTTGAGGAGGTGCATGTGGTGGATGTCTGATGGGAACAACAGCAGATGACAATTCGGGTATAGCGGCATTTCACTCTACTGCCATCGTAGAGGACCGGAATACTATGCGATTACCATGATAATAATAAGCATTACCCATAAGGACTATTCATCTCTCTCGATCATGGCTTTCTAGATTGAGTCGTCCTATAAAAATGTTTCCATTGACAATGCATCAAGAGGTATCAGACAAACAGTCATCTAGTACATCTTGCGAGCCCTAAATCCTTAGAGGCGTATATAGCTAGTTGGCTATGTTGACCTAGAATTAGGACCCTCTAACAATTTTTGACTGACAGTTTGCTTGGGCTAGCAGACGCTTTGCTCGGTCCTTGACAAGTATCGTCATTCAGGAATTTTCAAGACAGCTCGTCCGTTGATTTCAGCCTTCTCCAGTCTTTGTAGGACGTCATTGATACAGGAGAAGTCAAAACACTCAATGTGAGCCTTCACGTCTCCTGCCACAGCCATACTTAGTAGCTCTTCCATCTCCTTTGCGGTACCAGCGGAATTTCCGACAATGGTGAGACCTATTGTCCAATAGACTTAGCACTGTCCCAAATTTAATGAGCTTGACATCGCCTGGGGCGCTCCATACCTTTCACAATCATGTCCAACGGGGTTGACGGCAGTCTAAAAGGCTTGTTCGGGATACCAACGCAAACTAAAACCCCCAGACGGCGGAGCATCTGCATGCTTTGAATGTATGCCGACTCACTGTTCGCCGTGCATATCACCGCGTGGGCGCCTAGGCCTCGAGTAACAGACTTAACCCTAGCAGCAATATCATCCTTTTTATAATCAAAATAGTCCGTCGCCCCAAGCGAGAGACAGAGCTCTCTCTTTTTGTCCCTACTGGATCAAGATTCAGTAAGTAGAGCCATTGCTATTTTCACAACTGACTTTACCTGTCAATCGCAATGACTTTAAGCCCCTTCTTGACTGCGATCTGGATTCCCCTAAGGATAAAAGTCAGTCATCCACTGCTGCTGCGGTCTATGAGACGTTCCATACATGTGCCCAAGTCCTCCACCAGCCCCAAGAATCACGATCCAATCCCCCGGTCGAGTTTTTGTCTTCATGATCGATGAGTACATGGCAATTCCCGCTATTAAAGGATTAGTTAATGCGCCAGGGCCTTCTGACTTGGACAACCGCACCGCATAAAAGTGGTGCTGCTGTATCGGGGTCCAGCTCGGGCGGGATGATTGTGACATGTTCGGCAGGACTGACAATGAATTCTAATCAAGGTGTCAACCATACTCATCGATCCTGCGGCAAACGAAACAGATCAACTCACGCTGAAAGGTCCCTGGGACATTCTGCCTCAGATTAGATCTGTTGAAGCAGCTGCAACGCATTTATCCAGCCTGTGACAGTGAACCTACCGCACCAGCGTTCTTCTGATAAGGACAAGCCGTATGATTGATAGCGCAGATTTCGCACTTCAAGCACGAGCTGTAAAGCCATCTGCGACGGACAAGCACGTTTTGTTAGGTTTGGAGGCTAGATTCGAACGAAGCAGGGGGAAAGACCTACCGTATACCCACTCTTTTTCCCATCCAAGCCTCCTCATCCACGTTAGATCCAACTAAGAGATGGGCAGTACATCAGAAGATCCGTTAGACATTGCAAGTCGGCTCTATGCGCCTCACCTTGTATTACCTTCCCTACTCCCTCGTGACCTGCGACGTCCGTTAACATGAGGGTATCCCCACGAATGCTATGGACATCTGAATGGCACACTCCGGAATATTCGAGCTTGATGAGCACTTCCCCTTGCTTTGGAGATGGCACAGGGCGTTCACTTATAATATCTACCCGTGCACTTGAGGACTTACTGGGTCCTGACACGACTGCTGCGATTTGTGTTTGAGGGACTGCCATGACTGCAATAATGGTGTCTGGAGAGGATTTCCAAGTACGTCAACTAACAAGTACGCAAGCTGAGAGCCGACAATGCCGCACCAGGGTCAAGGGCAGCTCATATATGAGTAGTGAAGTATCTAAGATCTTTGCCTGAATTATGGTCGCATTGACTAAATCAGATAGTTCTATCGTTGATAAATGCGGGGATAATCCGATAGTGGTATCATCAGTAGATCGGGCGATTAAACCGGGGAATTGATTGGTGCAGGGGTCAACGATAGGGAGCAACCATCGATAAGAACTTGAGATTGCTGTTTCTGTCAACTGATAGAGGGACGCTGATGTTGAACCATCGATCAGGGAATCACTGATGGGCCTGTACTGGCACAGCGACATATGTACCAGCTATGTGGACAAGAAAGCCGAGCTATTTTAGTGAGAAGATAAAAAGGCGAAGGCTAACAGACACTCCACACCAGACCTGGCCGATTCAGAACTAGCGATCACCGTGAACAGCATGGTCAGAACTTCTGGAGAGCCAAGTACAAGTCTTGCAAGGTCAATAGATCCCTTGCCGAGTTAAATTAGGATATTATGCTAAATTTGCCAAGTCGCAACCAAACATGTACTGTATAAAAGACATGGACTCCGCGCAGCATAACAGAGTCGGTAAGAACGGAAAGAAGCTGGGGAAGCTCGGACTCATAAATAAAGCAACATTTCCGAGACTTTGCATGGGGCATCTGGACGGTATATAGAACGCAATGAAGGAAGCAGACAGGGTCTATGACAGAGATTGAACAACGCCAGCGCTTATGCGTTCTCCGCTTGAAGTGTTTGCTTGGTTACAAGTTAGTACCATGTAAATCAAGTATAGACAAGAAGCGAGCGGACAGCCACGAAGGGCAACTTACAACCAACCAGTCCATACCCTCATCTAGACCTTTACCATCAATGGCGGAGCATGCTACGATGCTCCAGTTCCTATCTCGCAGCTCCCCGAGCTTCAGAGCTTCCGAGATCTCTCCGGCACCCTTGGCGCCGGGTTGATCCTGCTTGTTTGCGAACACCAGCAAAGCCGCATCACGCAGCTCCTCTTCGTTCAGCATAGCCGCAAGTTCATCCGCAGCTGTGCCAAGTCGCTCAATATCGGTAGAATCAATGACGAATATAACAGCGGCAGTGTTGGCGTAGTAGCAACGCCAGTAGGGTCGAATGGACGTTTGACCTCCCAGATCCTACAATAACCGCACCTTAGCAAATCTCACAAAATTGCAATTATCCGTCTATTGCCAGGGCGCATCCAACATACCCAGACATTGAAATTCAGGTTTCTGTATGTGACCGACTCGACGTTGAATCCGATGGTAGGTATTGTTGTCACTACTTCGCCGATCTATCAAGTGCATGTCAGTTAGGTAAACGATCAAAATCAGAGCATATGTACATGATTAAGCACCTGAAGCATACCTTCAGTCTGTAGAGAAGTGTGGTTTTTCCGGCATTGTCCTACAGAGCCAATAAAAGCGAATTAGCCTTAGACACGGGAAATAAAATGCAGCGCAGAGCATGAGAGCATGTGGAACACGTACGAGACCTAATATAAGGATTCGAATCTCCTTCTTGGTCCAGAAGAAAGACCACAGACGTGACAGCGAGCCTCCCATTGTTGTGAATCTGAAAAGGGACACTGCAGTTCGGGCGTGATCAACGGAGAGGGCGAGGGAGGTGTTTGCGGAAGCGTTAGCCGTGAGGAGCAGGACGAGATATACGACTAAAATGAGATGATAGTAGCGTGGATTGGTTGGAATGAGGTAGAATTAACAGTATTTCATTTCATAAGATTGAAGATAATGAAATATAGAAGATATCAACCGCGCATCACTTTCAGCCTTGAATAGCTGACTAAATCGCGAGTTTCTTGGTGTGTCTTGTGGCAATCATTGGACCGCGGATGAACCCTGCGGCGCCGATCGGCCTGGTCCAAGCTCAGTCGTCCGTCACTTCTTAGGAGTTGGGATGACCTTTTGAAGCTATCCATTGATCGGATTGCGCGGGGACTGTCCTATTCCGCACTAGAGTTGCTGCGCGCTTCTCTTCCCAGCCGCTGTTTTTCCCTTGTGCGACTCCGATACTACGGCTTTTCCATATCAACAGCCCTAGCAGTGAATGCTCATATGCCTACTTAGAGTCCACTTTGAAGAGCGTCTTTTGGCTTCGGACTGGGTCACTACCGGACTCCCATCTTCATCTTCCCGTGCATCTCGCAAAAGTCATTTTCACCAATAAAGCGCCACCATGGTTGGCAAAAAGTCTGGAAAGGCCCTCAAAGATGAGGGTAAGCATCCTTGGAGCCGCTTCGTTCCTCAGTCCCTGCGTCGGGCGACCAGTTATGGCTGACATTTTTTCTGATTGCAAGGCCTTGAGAGGACGGATAACAATATGGAGCTGTCGAATTGGCCTCAGATTGCGCCGATCAACCAGAAGAATTACTACACGTATGTCCGACTTGCGCGTGGTTCGACCTGCAAGCAAGGCATTTCTAGTTTCTATCGCTAACTTGACGACTCCGACAGTGATTATCTCAAGAGGGACGATCAGTACCTAGCATTCCGACTACAGAATGAGGAGGCGAGGAACAAAATGGCCAAAACGGCCAAAGACCGGGATCGCGCTTTAGCCATGGCGAAATCGAACGACTTAGGCCTACCTGAAGCAGAGGCTGACGGTGATGGGGATACAAATATGGAGGAGGGCGCGGAGGAGACAACAGAAACCTTAGGCTCCAAGGTTATTGTAGTTCATGTCGGAAGCCAGAATCTGCGAATCGGCCTGGCCAGCGACGCACTGCCGAAGACTGTTCCTATGGTGATTGCACGAAAATCAACCACAAGCGAGTCGGAAGATCATGATGAGCCCCATCCGAAGCGATTGAAATTGGACGATGGCTCTTTGATGGAACCTGAGAAAATGCTTGGTCCGGAGGTTTGTCCTACCCAAGCGCCTGGGTCTTATTTTCGCCATTTTCTAACCACTTGCATGAAAATAGTTCTCCTCGCAGTACACCACGATGGCTGCAGAACTCAAAGCGCATATGCGGCAAAACAAGCGCAGGACTCTACCCAACTCGAAAGAGATGGTCATTAACTACAATCGGAGAACGGTACCAGAGACCATCCCAGAACACAATGACCCGCTGCGTGTCGAATGGACAGATATTACCGACGATGCACCTGAATATATTGTAGGGCAAGCAGCGCTTAGAATACCTGACGACTCGAAACCCAGGTACAAGCTCTACTGGCCGATGCGATACGGATGGTGCAACGAGAGAGACTATGAGAGCAAGAGACTCTTGTTCTTGGACATCTCACTCATTCTCGAGGACACAATCAAAAGCCAATTGGGCTTGACCAGCAAGAAGGAATGGCCTCAGTACTCTTGCGTTTTTGTTATCCCTGACTTGTATGAGAAGACTTATGTTACGCAAGTTCTCGAGATGTTGATGAGGGAGTTCTCATTCGCCCGCGTCTGCTTCATCCAGGAGAGTTTAGCGGCCACCTTCGGTGCGGGATTCACATCAGCATGCGTCGTCGACATTGGCGCGCAAAAGACGTCCATCTGTTGCGTGGAGGAGGGAATGTGTATTGAGAACTCTCGCGTCAACCTGAAATTTGGTGGAGCCGATGTGACCGAGGCGTTCATCAAGATGATGCTCTTCGACCACTTCCCATATGCGGAGATCAACCTATGGCGCCGCTACGACTTTTTACTAGCCGAGGAGCTGAAAAAGAATGTCTGCACCTTGAACGAAGCAAGTGTCTCAGTGCAAGTGTTCGATTTTCACCTTCGCATTGCCGGTCAGGACACCCGGAAGTATTCCTTCAAAGCGTACGATGAAGTACATCTCGCCCCGATGGGGTACTTCCAGCCCTCGATATTCGACCACTCACGGAAACTCGAAGGAAGAAGAAAATTCATCACGCGGTCGGTGGATATCTACGACGGTCAGCCGAATGATCCAACTTCGGGGGCCCAGTCCGAAATCTTGACTGCCATTGCCCCTCCCCCTGCCAATGGCCAAGTGAATGGTGAATCCCAATCATTCACGTTGGATGTGCAGTCGACGCCGAGTCGCTCGCACCAAGTGAATGCACTCAGCCGTGTCCAGGAGCTGGATGCCACCCCCCGATCTTCTGTTGCTGGGTCGCCTGCTCCGGAAGCGATCGGTACACCCCAAGCTGGTGGTGCTGGTACCCCACTCCCGGGTGGCCAGGGACATAGCGCCTCACAACCCCGTGCACCTACTGTCGAGGAGCGAGATGACGTTCTTCCAGTCTTTCCGTTGGATAATGCGATCCTCACGTCTATTTCGCATGCAGCTCGATCTGATGAACGTAAGATGCGAGACTTCCTCGGAGGAATCATGGTCGTCGGAGGAGGCAGTCTTGTCAACGCCTTCCACTCCTTCCTGGAAGAGCGTCTCCAGACGCTGAGACCAGGGTTTGCTAGCGAAATCATGGTCGGTACACCTCCTAGAGACCTCGACCCCCAAGTGGTAGTCTGGAAGGGCGCAAGTGTGTTCGGTAAGCTGAGCGGAACCAATGACAGCTGGATCGGGCAATTGGAATATGATCGACTGGGTCACCGACTGATGGCGTACAAGTGCATGTGGGCGTACTAGCTCTTCTTTTCTTAATACTGCTTTCTCTTCACTTTTCTTGTATCGTACGGATAACGGAGTTGGTTTATGGACGACACTACGGGGACTATTTCAGAAACAATTACGGGTACCTAGCTTATCAGAGAGATTCAATATTGACCCAACGGGGCCATCTGATATTTTTAAGTGTCTGACTATTCACTGACCTAGAGTCTAAACAAATAATGCGTTACATCACATAACGGTGCTGTGCTGGAGATGGCGGAAATACTACCTCTCCTGAACCAAAAACAAAATACGGCTTAACCTTTCTCCGCCCCTCAAAGCACCAACCCGCTAAGCTATAAACATCAGGCGGTAAAGATATGCAGAATGGTTTATCCTACCCCAAGTGAGTCCATCATAATTCAGCATTCCCAGAGGTAGTTCAGCTCCCTTACACTTATCAATCTGAGCGCTTCTGTATAGTTCTCGCGCCGGTAAATACCAGCAACGGAGGCCCAGACGGTTCTCTGGTTCCTGACTCTGAAATCCCGTCGATTGCGCTTCCCAGCCAATGTAAGTTCGGCGCACCAGCTGGCGCAGTTCAAGGCTCTCCTGCTGACATTACTGTGCAGTCTACAGTCCTCCTCTCACTGATACGCGCTCGTCGGACTCGAGTACTGGGATTGCGGCCGAGATGTCGAAATCCAAGGACAGCGGCTCCTCTGGGAGTTTTCATCAGGAGTACATCGCGTCTTTACGTTACCGGAATGATCTGCCTCCGCCGGATATGCCACCCAAGTTCCTCGATCTCCCGCATGAGGGTCTGCGGAGATTCCTAACGCCTGGTTTCGCATCTAACTTGGCGCGACGTGAGGAGCCCAATATCGACGTTGATGCCGAGGGTGGTATGCCGATAGACCTTGTCGGTATTCCGGGGCTGCATTTGGGCGACGAGAGTGGTAAGCCGAAGTTCTACTTGGCTTTTTGTCGCATATCACCCAGAAGCTAACTCAATGCAGCTATTATGGCGCCCGAAACTCCTCAACCGATTGATCCTGCCGACCTTCCGCTGCTCATGACTTTAGACCAGCTCAAGAACCCCGCCCCCAAGAACGCGAACGTCAGTTTCCTTCGTCGGACGCAATATATCTCTGCCGGTCTCCGCGCACCGGACGGCCCCAAGGTCACACCCATCAGAGCAAAGGCCCGTTCCGCCGACAAAGCGAAATCACAGGATGATCCGATGTACATCAAAAAATACATTCAAAAAGGCTTCGATATTGCTTATCCAGATAGCAGACATGTTGGGGAGGATACACCGAGCAGAATCAAAGGCCACACTCCTACCAAAATCGAGGTCGATGCTTGGGCTAACCCGGTTCATCCTGACAATCCGAAGCTCAAGCCGGTCGGGTTTTACCCTCTGCTCCCCGATCTACAGGGATTCCCGGACCCTGGAGGATTCGTTCAGTTCAAGTTCGACAAAGCGCCTGTTCAGGGTGTTTCAGGGAAACGAGACGAGCGCATGGATGTGGCCATTCTTCTTCCTTCCGCGCCAGAAGAGCGAGTCTGTCAGGAGCATGCGACCAAAGCCGCTTTACACAAGTCGAATCCCGAATTGTACCCTGATCCCGGTCCGATACCGTGGGATTACGATCTCTTCTTGCCTGAGAAGAAGGATGCAGCCAAGGAAGTCATTGCGAGCTTAAGTCTTTCGAACCCCGATCGCGACAGTGAAGTCCTGTACACTCATGAAGCAACGGATGGCATGAGGTTCCATCGTTACGAACGTATGCGCACGTACGCCACTAGTGCTCAGACCCTCGGCAATGAATCAAAGCAGCGCGATGTCGCTCTGACGCTTTTCGATCCAGCGGAGGCGAAGGAAGGACAGCAGACAAAACAGAGAGGTGCATACTACTATCCTATCCTCGGAAAGACCCGTCTGAAGCCCGAGCGGGCCCGTACCATTGCGCAGGCGGGTCTTGCTCCCACGCGGCCCAAGACAAAGGAGGACCAGGTAGACCAAATTCAGGTTGTTGTCCGCGATCCAGACGAGGCAGAGGTATACAAACGCTCTCTACATAGAGCGGCCATTGATCCGAAATTTGCAAAAACTCTCCCCCCGCCTCCCGAACCCGAATCTGCTCCTGAGCAGGAACATCCCGAGACCCACGACTCTGACCGAGGAGAAGAGGTGGCCGAAGATCGCAATCACCAGCCAACCGCTGCAGAAGTGAGCGACGAAGAAGACAGGATGAGTGACGAATAGACCATTATTTTGGTCGATTTTGCGGCCTTTGCTCTTGGTCAGGCGGCGCATTGTTTCCCATCATTGTAACATTTTCAATATTTTCATACCCATTCCATACAGCATACTTTGAAGATATGTGAGGGCTTTGGGCCTTTAACTCTCTAATTCCGATGTATTCTTACGCAGACTTAGCTTCAGGCTGATGCTACTTAGCAGTGGTTGGTTCGTCATCGATGTTGAAGCAGCAGGATTACTGGCGTTCAAAAGGCGTAAATGAGTTGGAGTCGAGTAAATATTCTGGCAAACAAATCTATGAACTGATTACCTTTTGTAAAGCTGCAGCTATCTTGAAGTCTTTTACCTCCATAGCAGTTAATGCCGCACACCGCTCGGAGATGCTGAAGCATTATGCCGGGAATATGACTGACCGCCCGCTCCATCCGTTGACGCAAGAGGAACAGAGGAAAAAGAGCCTAACGGATTGCGAGAGGACTGTCCTCAGAAGACTGACTGGTTTGATTGCGGAGAATCGGCCACTGCTATTCATTCGGTACTAGGGCCGTACTGTTGCATTGGGCTCTGATTGTTGTGTAACCTGAAGGTGAGTTGCTGGTATTTTTGTTAGTGGATAAATTAATTAGTGATGAGCTTGCGGTTGAATCGCCCTTGAAACGTATCTACCATGTGTCGATCTTTGACGATGACTCCTCTGACTGCCTTGTAGGACTACTCAAACTGTACTGACCAAGCACCCCTGGCAAGGCAGACTCGTCATGGTTGCCAATTCCACCAGCCTTGCCTGGAGATCGGCCGGTTTGAGGGCCCGCGCCGTGCCGTCATTGCGATGCTCCCATCGGTCCTCAATCCTTCATAGACAGGCCGCTTTCCAGCAACACAGTGCCGTGCGACATGCCTCAGGCACGACCAACGAGGCAGCTGAGGCTGTAAAGGAGGCCCCCAAGAAAGCCGGCCGCGGCCTCAAGAGAACGGTGTACGGAACATCGTTGGTACTCGCTGCATTGGTGGGTTATGTGTATGCGACGGATACCAGGGCAAGCATCCACCGCTATGCTGTGGTTCCTCTTGTTCGGATGCTTTATCCCGACGCGGAAGAGGCACATCATATTGGTGTGGAAGCTCTGAAGACGCTCCACAAGTATGGACTTCATCCGCGGGAACGCGGCAACCAGGACGGTGACGGCGTGTTGGCTACTGAGGTAATACAGCCCTGACATCTATAATTGTTTGTTGCTTAGCAGGATTTGCTTTTGCAGGTCTTCGGGTATACGCTCAACAACCCCATTGGCATCTCGGGCGGACTTGATAAGCATGCTGAGATTCCCGACCCGTTGTTCGCTATTGGCCCCGCGATTGTTGAAGTTGGCGGCACGACTCCCCTGCCGCAGGAGGGCAATCCCCGACCTCGCGTGTTCCGACTGCCATCTCAAAAAGCCATGATCAACCGATACGGCCTGAACTCCCTGGGCGCCGACCACATGGCGGCCATCCTGGAGAGACGCGTGCGGGATTTCGCCTATGCCAATGGGTTTGGCCTGCACGATGAAGCGGAGCAGCGGGTTCTCGACGGCGATGCCGGCGTGCCCCCCGGCAGTCTTCAGCCCGGACGGCTGCTGGCCGTGCAGATTGCGAAGAACAAGGCGACACCAGACTCGGACATCGAGGCTATCAAGCGCGACTACGTCTACTGCGTTGACCGACTGGCCAAGTACGCCGATATCCTGGTTGTGAACGTTTCCAGCCCCAACACGCCCGGCCTGCGCGACCTGCAAGCGACCGCGCCGCTGACCGCCATCCTAAAGGCGGTAGTGAGCGCCGCCAAGGGCGTCGACCGCAAGACCAAGCCTTATGTGATGGTCAAGGTCAGCCCGGACGAGGACTCGGATGAGCAGGTCTCCGGCATCTGCGACGCCGTATGGCATTCGGGCGTGGACGGCGTTATCGTGGGCAACACGACCAACCGCCGGCCTGCCCCGCTGCCGCAGGGCTTCACTCTTCCGCCAAAGGAACAGTCCACTCTGAAGGAGACGGGAGGGTACTCGGGGCCCCAGCTGTTCGACCGCACCGCTGCCCTGGTGGCCCGCTACCGGGCGCTGCTGGATGCACCGCCCGCTCCGGCGTCCAATGCGAATGAGACCGACCAAGCCAAGGAACTGGCAGCGGCCGTGACTCGAGCCGAGCCTGACTTGGAGAATGTGCCCGCAGTCGAGCCGCCTACTCCGGCCAATCGGCCGGCGCGCAAGGTGATATTTGCCTCTGGAGGTATCACCAACGGCAAGCAGGCGCAGGCGGTGCTGGATGCGGGAGCCTCGGTCGCGATGATGTACACGGCCGTGACGTATGGTGGAATTGGCACAGTCACTCGAGTGAAGCAGGAATTGCGAGAGGAAAAGAAAACCCGTCAATAGACTGTGGAGTGGATGTAGCGTTCAATTATTGTAAATAGTCAGCATTGTCAACGATCATAATTATCATCCTTCAAATCTCTTCACATGAACTCCTAGCTAGTGAGTCCACTATTGCTCTGACAACGTCTCCTCCACCTCCTGGACCACCTTTTTGACACCATCAATCTCATGCGCAAACCTCCCCAGAAACATCCCATCAACGGCCTTGCCCAGCCCTCCAGCCCCCCACAACCCCGGCCCCGCGCTCCCCCCATACAACACCCTCACCTCCCCCACCCGCTCCCCAATCACCGCCCGTATCCCCTCCACTACAGCCGCAACATGGTCCACCCCAGCAGGCTTCGCCTTCCCAATCGCCCAAACAGGCTCATACGCAAAGATAACCGGCGCCGCGGAGGGGATCGCATCCAGCACCGCGCGCATCTGCCCCGCACACTCACGCACCGCCAGCCCCACCGCCTCTGACGCGATCGCCCCCGGCGCGGTAACCTCCCCGATGCAAACAAGGGGGATCAGGCCCTGGTCAACAGCAGCAGCCGCCTTGCGGGCTACCTGGTCGTCCGTCTCGCCAAAGAGAGCGCGGCGCTCAGCGTGGCCGAGCTCGACTAGCCGGACCCCCAGCGAACGCAGCGAGGCGGGGGAGACCTCGCCTGTGTAGGCGCCTGCGGCCTCCCAGAAGCAGTCCTGGGCGCCGAGAAGGAAAGGTGGTTCAGGGTTGAAGTCGGAGGGGAGGTGGAAGCCGGCGGCCCAGTCTTTGATGATTTGGGCGCAGGGGTAGATCGTTAGAAAATCGGGGATGAGGGCTAGGAGGAGCCTGGAGCGGTTTTGGGGGAGGACGATTTTGTTCGTTGGGCTTAGGAGGTCGCGTAGGTAGGAGAGGGTGCGGTCGGGGGTGAAGTACATTTTGAGGGAGATGATGAGGAGGGTTTTGGGGAGGGGAGGGAAGGGTGTCTTTGTGGTGGCCATCGTGTTGTCTCTGGTATATTGATCGTTCGGCTTGAGTATTGTGCTCTGTTGATTGTGGTCTTCAGCTGTTGATTTATCGACTGGTACGGAGTAGCTAAGGCAGGATGAGAGCTCGGATACACCTCGGATAAGCTCTAGGATAGGTACAATTTGGCTGCCAATGAGGTGAGTAAGGATTCTGAGGAGTGACATGACATTCCTGTCACTCTTGGCTGTTTGACATACCTCTAGGGATAGATTGTTAATGAGGAGCAATTATCCAGTGTCTCATCGGGTGATGTCACTGATTGATTGGCATCTATGGTATGTTTCACGACTGACACCTCATCACAGGAATTGTGCTTGATTGGCCGACGAGGAAAAACAGACGATCTAATCTGAATATCCCTATCCCTAAAACATGTCATTGAGTCTAGGCTTGTCTTTGCCAATATCTGCTAGTCATGGGATGCTTCTCTGCTCCAAATCGGCGCAACTCCGATGTCTCGATGCTGTGGCTGTACGGGAGGCTTGTTTGGGATATCCTTGGAGTCAAGAGTAAGCTACAGCCTCGGTACACCTCCTTGATACGTCCATGTATTAGACTTAGGCTTCAAAATTCCTCCCCTGGATAGCTGGACAATAATGGAAAGAAACGGAATGAGATGGATATGGATCCTGGAATATGCACCTATATTATTAGGGTGAAGCCATCCCGAGGAGCCGCTTGGGCCTCTTCATTATTGGATGTTAAGTAACTGATGAATGGATAATACGCGCTTGGCCAAGAGCAGCAAGCCGAATCTATCGAGTTAAAATACTATGAAAGTGGGGAGTGAAGCATCGAGTAGAAGTTCATGCAGCCGAGACTGTCCTTTTCGATATTACACAGTATAGTCTGTGTCCATCATGCCCTTTTTCGACATGGATGCTATTGCGCAGTGTACTGTCCTCCGCTGTCAATCATAAAGTACCTGAGAACTCTTATGTTATAGGGGCAGCAGTAAATCAACTTTTTGATAATGGAAATGATACATCTGTTTCTGGCATGGCATCTATGTATGTGGGTCCCTAATACTAGTCTCACCACTAGTTCACTCCAGAAGGGTTTATATGGAACCCCAGAATAGGTATTCCGGGGTACAACGGACTCACTGTTCAATACTCTAAGCCATGGTTTCATCACCTAGATCCCAAAGAGTCGGTTTCCGATTTTAAGATAACACGGGGGCATGGAAGAATTGCTTCCCAAAAATTGTACGAGAACAGATGGACAGGAGTATTGTGCATGATGCAGGACAAGCATACTAAACCGTCGTACTGTCCAAGCCAACTCAGCACCAAAGTCTACTGTGTCCGAGTACAGTAGACGACACTTTCTAGCCAGGGCCAAACTGTCTGTCACTGGCTCCTCCCCTCAAACAAGGTCCACTCGGCATCCTGATATACTTACCTCTCAGAGTCAAGATAATGAAGATCAGCTGTGTTGAACGCAGTGTTTCTGGGCTGGCGTCATACTGCAGGACGGCACAAACTCATGTGCTATACAACTATCCGCTGTGGACGTTGCAGGATTCATCCTAAACATCCGAGACACACTCGACATCGAATGAACTGCCTTTTTATTGTAGTGGATAATAACACTGACAATAATGCATCGATATCCGAAGTAATGCGTCCTACCGGATGTGACGCCACTGCGGGGCATCGCAAGCGTTTCATCCCTCCACCACGGTCCATGGCATCTCTACCAATGCGTCTGATTCGGGTTGTGGGGTTTTTCCATCCTCCATCATCCTATGAGACCGTCTATCAGAAAAGACAATGGCCGCAGATGTCGTGCAGACACGACTCAATCGTCCAAGAGACTCGACCCGACTAAGTTCAGCACCCACCCAATGCACGGGACAGTCTCCACTGCAACCCCCCTCAATACTGTGCAGCCGAGAATGGAGGTGTACAAGACCAGCAAAAGCTCACAGGACAAAGATATAAAAGGTGTCTGAATCCCCTTTTGTAATCGTTCAAGTGGATTCTTTTCATCGAGCCTACGCCGTACATCCGCGTCCCTCATCTCTCTATCCACACCCATTCCACTTTTCTTCTCCATCTGGCTTCTACTTCGTCATCATGTCTACCGATCTGAAGCCCCTCCGCATTGTCATGGCCTGTGACGAGGCCGGCCAGCCCTACAAGGAGATCATCAAGGCCGCCCTGGAGAAGAACCCCCTGGTCGAGTCCATCACCGACGTCGGCGTCAACTCCACCTCCGACAAGACTGCCTATCCTCACCCTGCCGTCGCCGGCGCCAAACTCATCAAGGAGGGCAACGCAGACCGCGGTCTCTTCATCTGCGGCACCGGTCTGGGTGTCGCCATCGCCGCCAATAAGGTTCCCGGCATCCGCGCCGTGACCGCTCACGACTCCTTCTCCGTGGAACGCTCCATCCTCAGCAACGACGCGCAGGTCCTCTGCTTCGGCCAGCGCGTCATCGGCATCGAGCTGGCCAAGAAGCTCGCCAACGAATGGCTCACCTATCGCTTCGACCCCAAGAGCGCCTCTGCCGCCAAGGTCCAGGCCATCACCGACTACGAGCGGGAATTTGCTGCTGCTCAGTAGACCGTTCAATTTGAGGATTGGCTCTTGCAGCCGTCAATTGGTGACGGACAGCCATATCCTTCTTCGCATATATGAACCGTCCGTTGGACCGATTTATACGTGTATACACACATGATTTTTTTGATGTTATCCAGCGAATCAATGATACCACGACTGGTTGGGATGAATTGGCAGGCCGACATCCCGTCAGATGTCCATCGAGCTATCTTTTCCCTGTTGATAAAAGATATTTACAGGATAGATGTGAATTAATTTTTGGGGAATTATTTTTCGTACATACTCTTGTAGGTCCACAGGAGTAAGCAATTCAATCTGATGCTTCAGTAACGTAATCGGTAAGCGAGTCGGCCATGTAAGCGAGTCGGCCACCCGGTCAAGGCATATCCTAGAATTCTGATTTACATACAAAAAAGGAAGTTATTCCACGTTAATCTAACCATTAAAACGCGCTGAATTCAGGCAGCTACTCGATTAGGACATCTTGTACGTATATGTCCTAAAACACCACACATACTGCACCGAGGTGGTGCCCGACGGCGTGGTTGATCATCTCCAGGCCCTGTATCACCAGCTGCTTCCTCTAAGGCCTGAACATGGTTGAATGCCTCAAGTGCTTCCTGGATTGTGAAGCCATTCAAACCATTCATTTGGTGTTGGTTACGCTTCTGCTTATTCTTTCGTCTCTCAATGGCCTGGTGAAGTTGAAGGTTTTCATGTTCAAGAAGAATAGCACGGTTCAAGGCTATCTCTGCACCTTTACAGATGTAAGATATTGCTGTCTGTATTGGTGAGGTAGGAGGGTTTGTTTGAAGTAATTGAGAGATCACCGACTCATGCTTTTTGAATTGATTCAAATTTATCGGTGTTTTGGTAATCGTAGATGTAGTGCCTTGACTGCTGGGACGGCTGTCTTCCTTGTAAAAGATGAGGCTATCCAGAACCTGGTTAGGATTAAAAGGGACTAATCCTGAGGCTCTAAAAGCACTCTGTATATTCATCTTCTTGAAGGCTTGGGCGTGGGCTTCTGGGTAGACGTCAAGAAAGTCAACCTTATCAATATGGTGATATCCTGTTCGTACAAGCCGTTCAATGAGGTTACTGTAAGCTCGTTTCAATGGTGAGAAACAGGCCACATCCAAAGGTTGACAGAGATGTGAGGAATTTGCAGGCATGCAAATAGGAATAATATCATTTTGACGACATATATCATCAAATTGAGGTGTTAAATGAGAGTCATGCCCATCAAGAACTAAGAGGCTATATTGGCCAGTTCTTCGGTCCTTAATATAAGGAATAAAGTGTTCTTTGAGCCAGTGTTCACCAATTTCTCGTGTTGTCCATCCATTTGATGATATAGCAATTCTCCATGAAGCTGGAGTATTACCTTCATACCAGGCCTGAATATGAGTCTTTGCTTTCAACACTAAGTATGCTGGTAATGCCCATCCGGAGGCGTTGATACACTCAATTGAAGTTATCCATTCTCGATTTCCCGGTTGTATAAGAAAGGGCCTTCCTTCACAGGATGATCGTGTGATTACCTTCGCGGTAGCCACCAGGCCCATAGCAAAGCCGGTTTCATCAAAATTATAGATATCTTCATTGGCGATACCATAAGTTAATATAGCGGCTTGCACGCGTTTGAACCAGGCTTGAAGAACTTCAGGATCCTCGCATTTCGCCCGTTTATAATTGATTTGACGACTAAACCGACTTTTCAAGGAATCATGGCGGGAAATGAAGTTATATACCCATTTCTCTCCCACTGAGGAAGTTGTATCTTGACCACGTTGTTGGATCAATATTGTAGCCATTTCACGGACCTGGAAGTGCCTTGGCGGTGCACCACGTTGATCTAATGAGAGAATCCATTTAATAAGTGATTCTTCCTCTATAGGAGTCAACTTATGGGAATTGGCGCGGGTTTCCTTGCGAAATTTGATTCCATTCAAACGATCTTGAAGTGTTGACCGGGGAACTTCAAAGACACGAGCAGCTTCACGAACTGATTTGATTTGGCCATTCTGAATAGCCTTAACTGCTAAGGAGATCCTCCCCTCTCATTCCACCAAGGATTTTGATGATTTGGGCATTTTTCGTGGTGATATGGATGGCTGAATAGCCTTGGTTTCAAAGGGGTGGTGATTCTTGATGGGGGTGGCCGACTCGCTTACGTGGCCGACTCGCTTACCGAATACGTTATACCAGCTGAGTCAGCCGCTCCGCTCGACGATTCCGCGGGGATCCATCGGCTTCGATGCATTTGCACAATGACTGACAACCAGACATCAAGTCCAGCATTCATTATTATAAGAAATGGATAACGGCAGCCTGCTCCTCGTCTCCAGCGTGAGGCATCACTCCTGGACTTTCATGGACCTGGATCCGCCTAAATAGACTTC